AAAATTGAAATAACATTTTGTTAAATTGAGTAGCAGATTGAATTGTTGTGATATATAATATATAATAAAAGCAATTACTGGTAGTTAGGCTTACCTAACTTGCGGTTATGGTGGGTAACTTATATTTTGAGCTGGCTTATGTTGGATTGAGTGGAGCTCCAATTTCAAGCCAAAAGCTTATATAGGTCTTATTATACTCACTTATATTTTGAGCTGGCTTAGTAGTTTTATTTTATATTATATATATACTTTCTTTTTTCTCTTGGTTGCCTCGAAACTTCCTTTTGAGATTAAAAAAAAAAAAAAAATGATTATACTATTGGGCTAACGTCCATTGATTTTACTTGAAGTTTATTATATTGGATGCATAATTGATTAAATTTATGTTCTTAGAGCAAAATGATGTTAACATGTTCTAAATAAGTAAGATAACAATTTGTTGAGTTGATTTATTTAGTATTTTTTAAAAGTTTGGGAAGAAAGTCACACCTATTTTGTTCCTACGGGTACATAATCCCTAAATTACAGCGTTTTGGTATTGGGTTGATTTGATGATGTTATGGAAGCATTGGCAGTAGTTGTTGAGGTAGAAAGTGAAAATAAAGTCCATTGATACTGTCTGTATATGTGGAACGAATCTTGGATTAGCCCAAGTTGTATGGATTAGGCCCTTGATCTCGTAAAAAGCGAACCCACATTGTACTGCTTTACTCTGATAAAAGCTAATAATATGGATAATGGGCCTTGAAGCCCAAAGATATCCAAAAGTACACGGAATGAAGCCCCATCAAAAGTCATGCCATAAAACCATACGTATGGTGTGTTCTCATACACACCCACCCCTATCGAAAGGAGAAAAGAGCATGCACATATATGGAAATTAACAGCTAAATCACATCCATCATTGCATTATTTAGTGACTTAGTTGGTAGAGTATCCAGCTCTTCACACTTTGTATTCGAGTCCCCCTTTCCACTAATTTGTTTGAAAAAGGAAAAAAGAAGAAGAAGACAACATCCATCAGGCCCATTAGTACTGGCCTATGATATTGAAGAAAGAAAAATGAATGAATGGAGAAGATGGAAAAAGTTGAAATTAAAAAACACGAAAGCAGTGGTAAAATGATTAGGTTTGAGTCAGGCCTCTTTCTCTTTAATCAAATCAAACAATGGAACACAGATGTGTATAACTGTATATGGTATGGAATGATTAAAGGAGCAGACTCAGTCCATATTGGAAACTAGGATTGGACTAGACTCTCACACACTCAGGGTTGGTTCGATATATAATCTTTCTAACAAAAGAGAGGCAGCCTACACTATAAATCTTAAAAAAAACAAGTAGTAGTGGGGGTTGGCCATCATTTTCATTTCGAAAGTGGTCCATTAATTTGTACAAGTCCACTGGTTGAGATTTGGAGGATGGCAATGCTTTCCACCACATGAATCATCAAAATTGCTAGTGTTGCAATTCTAAAAAATATTTATAAATTTACACTGATTATTTTGTTTTTTTCTTCTTCTTTTTCCCATTAAGAGAACTTAGAGAAGAGTAACAAAGTTAAATAAGATTCGATGATCTCATTTAAATACTCTATTGAAAATGTGTTAGTTTAAGGTATTTTCTTTACTTTTCAAATTGACGGTTAAGTTCAAATTCTCAGAGTGACAAAATTAAATAAAAAAGAAAGAAAGGGTACGTTATACGATTTTATTTATTTATTTATACCGGATTGGCATATTCATTATGAATGCGAAGGAAAATGGAAAGAAAAAAAAAAAAAAAAATTAAAAGACCAAATGTTCAATCACATAAAATAGAAGAAGTAGCAAAGACTCTTAAGATCAATCTCAAATTATTAATATATTTTTCTTTTCCTCTCTCCTTTACCAAACATGGGAGAATTCTTCACTCATTCCTCTTTCCCCTTCCCTTTATTATTTTATACAAAACACTGAAATTAGGAAAGCTATGAATTGGTTTAGAATCTCACCTTGGCTTGTTTGAGTGACTATATCACTTTTTGTATTTAATTGATTGATGACTGGACAGAGAAAACTTAAAGAGAGTGATGATGATATCGGAAGTTTCATTGAATTGGTGGTGGGCCACAGTTGAATAGCCCAACTCTGTATATACTTTACTTTTAGATGGGCTTTCTGGTTGTCGGACTTCGCTGGTATCATCAATCATCACATTCACACCCATGCCCAACTTTTCACATTCCTTTCTTTCTTTATCCGACAAACACACTTACATACATATCTACTGCTAATTTCCCCTATAATAATAACCTACATATCTAATGGTAATTTCCCCTATAATAACTTCTCTACATAACATCACCCCCATGATATTTACTTTATATGTATAAATAATGGGTTAGACACTACAAGAACATGTCTGGTTACCATGTTTATTGGTAAGTTTGAATCTATTATTGCTAATTTTGGTACATCCATCTTTTCCTCATTAGAGGCCTAAAAGTGTGGAATAGGGGACACGGAAGACGGAAAAATTCAACCACTGAAGTCTGACGTAGCGGAAGGAGTACGCATATTGCTTTTCCACAATATCCGAATCTTACTGATATGACGACAATTTTGAGGACCATTTAGCCAAAAAAATAAAAAAATGAAAAATAGGTCGACACTAAAAGCCAGCAAAATTGGCCTAATATTTAAATCTCATTTTACTTGCCAAAAATTAAAAGATTGGGCCTAATTTTGGGAATATGCTATATTGGACACTATAATACCGTTGAGTTAAAAAAGTAATTTGATATGTTTTTTGGGCAAGTAATTTGGAACAATTGTTGTCATTTTCAATAGCAAAATTTTACCACCACTTGTTTTTTATTTTTTATTATATTATATTTCTTATTTCTCTAGAACTGTTATATGCTCGTTCAGCTCAAGTATCATTTCTCTTTAATTTATCAATCTTTTGTTTCGCACTATCATTAGGATAGGGAACAACCGCACATTTCAAGCCCCGCATTGGCAAGGTGCATTGGCAAGGGCGAATCCAAGGGTGGGCGAAGCTAGGCTTCAGCCCACCCAAAAAAAAATAAAAAGATATATGTATATATATATATATATATATAGAGTAATGGTAGCCCAATCTAAAGTTAACTCAGTCCAAAATTAGCCCACTTCATTCAGAAACGCTGGATCCGCCCTTGCGCATTGGTGCATCAAATTTATACCATAAGCTAATAATTTTAAAAATATGTTATTGTTGATATAATATATACATATCCTTGCAAAAATATTCACGAAATCAAATCGAAACAATTAAAAAACTAAATGCAAAATGAAGAGTATAAACCTTAAAAGAAGAGTATAAACCTTAAAGTTACAAAAGATACCCTTCTGTTTATATAATAATATCCCTTGTGCAGTGCACGTGGCTCCTATGCATAAACCAGGACGGAGCCGTGACAGCCGTCTAATATGGATGGGATGCAGTTCGGACCACATGACTTTAAGAATAAGGTTGTAACGATTTGGCCCACAAATGACAGATCCAATGTTCCAAAATACGTGACGGGTCTATTTTTAGAGAATATACAAAAGTAAGAAACAATCAATTAGGCCCAACTCAGATGGTTGGTTGTTGGAGACGCAAGAGCAATGGTGTAACCATCAGAAGCTCAAGCGACTTGTACTTGAATGATCAATAAAAAGAGCTGATGCCCCTCTCTGGTGAGCAGAGAGGTTTCATCATAACTTATTTTTAAAAGAAAATGAGCCAGCAGTGTAGAGAATTTTTGTATGGTTATCATCAACTACTATTTGACATATAAATAAAAAAATAAATAAAATTAATCAAGCATATGCTGATAATCTTGCAATTTAGAGAAATAATATGAGAATTAAAACAATATTCTATATTATTCACGGTGGTGTTATATTTAATTTATAGAATAATACCTAACTATAATAAGTAACTAATTATACAATAATTGGAAAACTAATTAACTACCAATTAGCCCTAAATCAAGAAGTAAATAATTCAATTATACAGCTGTATAATCAGTATAATCCCAGATTACACGAGATAAAATCTCAACACTCCCTCCAACTTGTTTAAAAATTTTGAAAACACTTGATTTGAGACTGTTTTAGTGAGAATGTCGGCTATGCTTCGTACAATCATATTGAACTGGATTATGGGCAATATCACATGCTGCTTTATTGTCACAATATAGTCTAATAGGGGCTATGGACGGTGCAGTGGTTCGGCTGTGGCTTGTGATAGCAGTGAGTATGGGTTTGTTTATGGGTATGGGTAAATGTATGGGTAAAATGTATGTGTATGGGTCTGTGAATTTATGTGTATGTGTATGTGTATGGGTCTATGAATTTTGAAGATAAATTCAAAAAGATTCAAAGGTATGGTTCAGGATGGCTCTGATACTATCTTGCAATTTAGAGAAAGAATATGACAATTAAAACTATATTCCATATTATTCACGATGGTGTTATATTCAATTTATAGAATAATACTAGGGTAACCAATTATACAATAATCGAAAAACTAATTACCTATCAATTAGTCTTAAATTAAGGAGTAAATAATTCAATCCTACAGCTGTATAATCTCGAATTACACGAGGTAAAATGTCAACAGGATAAAATCTCAACAGATATTTTTTGATAATTTTTTGAATGTATAATAAGACTGATTGTCAATTTATTTTTAATAACATTTTAGATTCTATACTCATAATGGATGAATTTTATTTACAATTAAGTAAGTATACACAAAATTTCTTAAATGAGATGTGTTACAATCAATTGATTCGATTAGCATATTATGAGTATTTTTCCTTCCATCAAAGCATTATGACCAAAACAAAAATAAAAAATTAATTAGTTGATATTTTGAAATTATACACATAAAACAAGGGGAGTAGGGAGCAAGGTTCTCTTAGGATGACATGTCAAGCAAAGGAAAGCTCCCAGGTGACATGGACACAAAATCCGGTAGAATGGTGCCAAGTGAATACTTATATATCAGACAAACACACTCATCCCTCTTCATCTTTTCCTCTCTTTCCTCTCCTGTGTCCATATGCAGATGTCTTGAATCTTTGTTATATGTGCCCATCCATGAGATTAAACTCGCAACTCGTAGGTGGTCTCTGAAGCTCAATCAAACCCATTAATGGTTACCTTGAAAGGTGGGACAAGACCACCATGGGTGGGTCTTGGAGCTGCTGTATGGCTTCAGATAGCATCTGGGAATGCCTACAATTTCCCTCTCTATTCTCATTCTCTCAAATCAGTTCTGGGTTTCAATCAACGCCAGCTCACAATGCTCGGAGTGGCCAACGATATTGGTGAGAACGTTGGCCTTCTTCCCGGCATAGTCTGCAACAAATTTCCCCCATGGGTTGTTCTTCTCATCGGTGCGTTTGCTTGCTTCTTTGGTTATGGGGTTCTCTGGTTAGCCGTCAGCCGTACTGTTGAGTCCTTGCCCTATTGGTTGGTGAGTTCCTTTTTCCTTTCTTCTTTAAATTAAATTAATTTACATATTACTTTGATGGGTTTCTTGTATTAATTTTTATATCATTAATTGGTATGATTGGAGGAGAGTGATCTCTATATATTATCTTGACTCTCTTGATCACTGGGTCTGACATTTGTTGCTCTTTAATCAGATGGAGTAAGACTTTATTGATCTAATTGTTGTTTACATGTTGTTCGCGAATTTTAGAGCTCTCTAGCTTTAAAGTTGATTAATAGCTTGCATCTTAATTCTTTGTGTTCTTCTTGTACAGAAGGTTACGATTATTTGTATATCTTCACATGAAATGATTGAAATACAGTTGGATATGACATAACCTTTGTGGCTACTTGAGAGTATCTGAAATATAATTGTTGTGTTGCATCACTTGCATAATAGTATTGGGAAGTTTATATATATCCTCCCAACGACAAGATCCAAAATCACTTTGTTTAGTGAATAGATAGACAAATTCAAAGAATTCTCTTTCACAGTGTGGAATGTATAGGAATAAATAACTAAATCAGATTTACCATTTTGCTATTGAATTTCTTACGCATACAGTTTCTTTCGTTGCTTGAAAACATTGGGCATCAGCTAACAAAATTATTGAAACAAATTAAGTGCTCTGCTTTCTTAAATTTAATATGTTAGCTCTTTAGTGGTGTATGTCCGAGCGAGGTTGATTGTCTGGTTTTTTGATGATTTACATAACTTTGGAGATATAATTCTTGTATTTGGACTTCTCTCAGAAAATTTTGGATTCTGGAGGTGAAGGTCCAGTTGTTCACTAGCCCATTCCGGGAGAAACCACTTTTTTTTTTTTTTTTTTAAATTCAAGAATGGGGTGCTAGATTGAACCATTCATCAGTATTTAAGACTGATTGAAAGTATTTTTTAGATGAGTTAACAAAAGAAAAAAGAAAAAAGAAGAAGCTATTTTAGAAAGTGGTGGATCATAGAGGTAAAGTGACTAATGGTCATCTGGTTGAGGTTGCACCAGTCCAGGTTAGGTTAGAGGTAAGGGGTTAACCGGTCAAGCTTCCTCTAGTGTGCGCCAGATCAGGATCAACCGAATCCTTTGCGACTTTATAAATATCTTTTAACAGGTAGTAGCATCCTACATTTAATTCATAGCTATTTTACATGGTGTAAGCACACTGGGAAATTATAGTAGAACCCAAGGTAACCACAGGTTGTCTTAAGATATCCCATCAAGATATTTTACCACGCTTAATTAAAGGCAAGCATATACTAAATAAATTTGTCCGTCTCACCTTTCAATACTATGAGTTTTCATTCCATCAATCATCTTATAAATAGAGCTACTCACTAGCTTCAAACCAGAAAATTTCGATGAAAGCAGTCTAACTTTTTGATGGTATTGCAGCTATGGGTTGCGCTATGTGTTGCCACCAATAGCAGTGCTTGGATATCCACACCTGTGCTTGTAACCAACATGAGAAACTTCCCTCTCAGTAGGGGCACTGTTGCAGGCATTCTCAAAGGTTATGGGGGGCTCAGTGCTGCAGTATATACTGAATTTTTTGGCGTGCTGCTTCAACATTCCTCTTCTAGGCTCTTGTTGTTTCTCACACTTGGGGTTCCTTTTCTATGTATTGTGATGATGTACTTTGTTAAGCCTTGTACTCCTGCTTCTGGGGAAGGCTCTGTTGAGCATGGTCATTTTGTTTTCATCCAAGCTGCCAGTATTTTGCTTGGTTTATATCTGCTCACAACCACAGTATTGGATAATTTTCTTTCTTTAAGTGCTCCCTTATCCTACTCCCTAATTGTTACAATGGTCCTGCTTCTCATGGCTCCACTTGCTATCCCAGTAAAGATGACATTTTACCCCTCAAATTGCAGTAAGTTGGCGACACTTGGTCGACCTGTTGGCTCTTCAGATAATCTGACTAAAGCTGATAATGCAGACAAAACAGAACCGTTGCTAATTCCATCTTCATCAACTTCAAACCTTGGAAGTTTTCACGAGAGCGACAGTGTCTCAGATGTGGATATGCTTCTTGCCGAGGGAGAGGGGGCGGTGAAGAAGAAGAGGAGGCCCAAAAGAGGGGAGGATTTCAAGTTTTGTGAAGCATTAATCAAGGCGGATTTCTGGCTTCTTTTATTTGTTTACTTTGCTGGGGTTGGTTCAGGGGTTACTGTTCTCAATAACCTGGCTCAGATAGGAATAGCTCAAGGTGTACACAATACAACAATGCTGCTGTCGATCTTCAGCTTTTTCAATTTTGTGGGTCGTCTTGGTGGGGGAGCAGTCTCTGAGCTATTTGTCAGGTCAGTACCATTTGTACTTACTTTACCCCTAATGTAATTAAATTGGATAATGTGGAGATGCATGATTATTTACTCATCTTCCGATTTGAACATTTTTTTTCAGTGAACAATGCTTAATTGAAGAAAAAATAATAATAATAAAAGTAATACTTGGATAAATTACTAGGATAATAACTAGGACTTAGGTCATTTTCTTTGGCTGGACATTAAGAACATTATCTTTCTCCAATTAAACAATTCTTTGATGTTTGGACCATGTCCTATCAAGAAAGTTTAGCTAGGGTTATCAAATTCATAAAATTCAATGTTATTTCAACATCTACGGAGTTTTGTAACTTCTAGAATCGCTTATAGGCAAATGCAATACTAAGCTGGAGCTCTCCAGCGAAGTTGCATTATAAAGATTTGTAGCCAGTACGTACAAGTCATTTTCCCTGGCACTTTTGATTAGCCACATGGACATTAAGCATCATGGCGGTACGTTGACACGTTGTACCCCTCCCAATGTATGATCCGTTATTTCTCAAGAGAGCCATTTTGATTTGGTTTGGAATTGTACTCTTTGCAGGTCAAAAGCAATCCCCAGGACAATTTGGATGACATTCACACAAGTAATAATGATCATTACATATCTCCTGTTTGCTTCTGCTCTGGATGGTACTCTTTATGTTGCAACTGCATTACTTGGAATATGCTTCGGTGTCCAGTTTTCTATCATGATCCCGACGGCGTCTGAGCTTTTCGGCTTGAAGCATTTTGGTATTATTTACAACTTCATGTCACTAGGGAACCCTCTTGGTGCTTTTCTTTTCTCAGGTCTCCTTGCTGGTTACTTATATGATGTAGAGGCAGCGAAGCAGCATGCTGTGTCTTGCTTGGGTCCAAATTGCTTTAGGCTTACTTTCCTTGCTCTGGCTGGTCTTTGTGGTTTCGGCACCATTCTTAGCATAATTTTGACTATGAGAATTAGGCCCGTTTACCAAATGCTTTATGCCGGTGGCTCGTTCCGGCTCCCCCAAAGTTCCAATCACTGAGATGATCGGAAAATCTGTGCTTCTTGGACTTGCATCAATTAAGAGAATGTAGTAAGACCACCATGTTAGCAATTTTGTACATCTGGTCTGTAACTTATGCATATTATCCTTGTTAGAACTCAACAGTTTTCAGTATATGATATCCACGTGGGGTTTGGGTCCTATGGGTTTACTGTAATATTAATATAGCTCTTGATTCATCTGAAAATATAATTTGGGCTACTATATGAGTGAACTTTCAGGTGAAACTATGACAAATAAATGATCATTGTTTTGATTATGGTTGTCTAAGGGTTCTCAGTGGTGAATATACTTCTGTATCTCTCCAAATTTAACTCCGTATAATCAATCCTCTTACCTATCTGTGCATTTGAACCAAAATTATCCTTATAAATTCCTTAATGTTGCATGTTGGATCACCGAATGGATTTGAAATTTGAATAAAATTTGATTCAAAGTTTCCATTAAAATGAATACAATTCCAATTTTAAGGCTCCCAAACATAGCATTTATCTAGACACAACTGATAAGCCAAGTCTGATTGATGTCCTATGCCAAACTGTTGCACATGAATTAACCAAAAATAAATAATTAAAAATTAAAAATTTCAAAATAAGATCTGAAATTCAAGTTAAAAAATATTTGGGATCCAATGCAAAAGCAGCAGTTGATCATTAATTAAGTTCGGAGACAAAGCAAATGATGTTCAGTGTCTACGCAGAAATGGAAGATAATTTCACGGATGCATAATTTGACAATTACACACTGCTGCTACTGGAATTCTAAGATAAAAAGGAGGGTGGATTTTGAAGAATAGAAACTTAATCACAGCTTCATATATACATCAATTTTATTTTATTTTATTTTATTTACTTTATTTATTTTTAAGATTCAAAAATCACAATGTTGCTCTATTCTAGACCATACAGTGGTTGGGTTTTTTTATTTTCATTAATTGATCAACACCCTCTTTCAACGAAAAATGTTGAAGTGACTAGATTGGTCTCACCTCTGTGCTAATAATATTAACATCTTCAAATGAATTGTGCTTTTAATAGTCCATCTGTTTTGGGCTGTTAAGCAACTTTATAGAAATGCTAATGTTCATTGATATAAATAAATCCAAGGTGGTTGTGATCAACTGCTGAAGTCCTCATATTCAGATGTCAACCACAATAATAAATTCCTTCAATAATGACTACTTATTTTTAATCCTACTAAGGTCCATTGTTTGGTGCGGTAGTTAAATATGTACGTAAGCGCTCAAGTTCACTCTTGAACCAATTACTTCTTTTAAGGCTAATGCAAATTTCCATCCATCTAAAACATTAATTACATTTATAATGTATTTTAGGCAAACCCATCCTGCATATGTGATATGTGATATGTGATATGTGATAAACAGGCACAGATCCAGAAACATAAGTTAGGGGGTAACATTAATTATATATATATATATATATATCAAAATTCTAAAAATATTAAGATATAATACTAAAAAAATAAAATAAAAAAATTACATGATAGTTGAAGTGATGTTTAGAAAGAACGATTTTATTTATTTATTTATTTATTAAATCTTCAATTTATAACAAAATATCAAATAAACAAAATATCAAAGAGAGGAGTTGGGATTCACACGCAGTGGATGACTAAAATCATTCACACTACGAAAAATTTCCTGTGTAAATGATCCTAGGAACAACACAACGATTATAAGTGGTATGACATGTGTTCAATTCAAAACACAAAGAAGCCAAACATATTAAGATTTTTCTTACATAGGCTACAAAATAAAGATCCACATGCAGACGATGAAGAAACCAATGTTGGTGTTTGAAGTATTTCAGGAAAATATTAAGAGACTATGTTTTCTTCCTAACCTTCCTTTTCCCTAATAAGAGATCATCAAACTGCATTTTTTTCTCAAAACAGCGTAAAATCCGCTAACATTTGTTTTTCCCTAATAAGTCTCGGATAAAACTGAAAAAGTTCTACACAATAGAAACCCTGTTGTTATTGATTTCATCATTTGATCACTCTCATATCAAGTAACACTCTCATATATATATGATACATTACATTACATAGAAGAAAAACAAATCTTATTCAGCAGTCAGCACATATACACGTACCAAACATGAGAAAAAAAAAACAGAACACAAAAAAGAGCACATTCTTCAAGTGGGTTTCAAGTCTTGAAACATTAAGGACCATAGTGAAGGAACTACTCCATCACTATTAGCATGCAAATTATCGTTGCCATAATGATGATGATTAACCTTTGGGCTCAAAGCCCTTCCATATCCATCCAAAGGCCCAGATTTGTTTGGGCTCCTCCTATATGTAAACACAACATTATTATTATTCTCATCCTTCTTGCCATCCAGAGGACCTGAAACACTACTAAAACTCCTACTTGTTGTGACCATCAACTTCTCTTGCACCCTCCTGTCCAGTGGTCCAGACCTCATTGCCCTTGTATTTGTCGCCGTCACCTTCTCTTGCTTGCAATCTTTGGCGCTATTTTGCTTCCTCAATGCTCCGGACCATTGCGTTCTATACGGCGTCAGCTCTTGCACTGTGATTCGAGTGGAGTCCTTGTTGAAAACCTTTCTGCTGATGGTCCCAGTAAAGCACTTCTTGGTTTTGCTGATTGCGGTTATGAATTTCCAAATGCTACTTCTGCTTCCACCAACCTCCTTCCTAGCAAGCTTGATGATTTCTAGTCTGTGTTTGGCCACTGAGATGCCCATACTCTGCAGAAACTCATGATTGAAGTGACTTAAGTCCTCCTTTTCCAGCTCATTGCGAGCGAAGGCTAGACCGTACTCGTAGACCAGGGACGGCTCCAGGCTGCTTCTTGACAGCCAGGAGTACCAGTCCATGGCTAGTTGGTTATATGATCGATATATATGTTTGATCATTTGTATATATGAGATATATATATAAAAGAAGAAGAGGAAGATGAGGAAGTGAAGTGAAAAGAAAGGAGGGTGTATTATTAATAATTTGGTGGGTAAAGATGCTAAGTGAGAACATAATGTCTTACTTGCTCTCTTTTATGAAATATTAAGTGTGATGGAAATGGTAGGTGCTCTTGCTTATTGCTACTCAAATGGCATTCAACTTTTCATTCATACTCCCACGAACACCACACCACCACTGCCTTTATAGCTTTTACTGCCAGTTGCATTAGTGGGCTCAATTTGGATGCAGACACTGTACCATAATCAAGTATATATAGACCCTAATTTTACACCTTTTTCTAACTCTATGCTTAAAGTCAAAAAGAACATATTTAGACGCCAAATAGAAGTTATGAGGATTTTTTTAAATTTATTTTTCTGATATTGGCTGATAAAAAAAAATAATAATAATAATTAAAAACATTGTATAATTAAATAAATTTCAAGCACAATTAGGATAATAATTTGAAGTTTAAAATTATGAAAGATTTATGTGAGTGAAAGGTGACACCATTGTGATGTCATTAATATTTATGATGTTATGAATTCTTATTCACATAAAATTAATAAAATAATAAAATGTGTCAACTTTGAACTCTCTATCATTACTCTTACGGTTACAATTACCATATAATTTGAGGAACGAGACACCTTTTGAAATGGCTGGACATTAATTAGGGAGTTAAAAACCACAAGCCCCACCAGTTGAAAACAATGGCTCTGATTCTGATGCAACTTTTAAGACATCCAAACTAATAAATGTGCGTACTTTCCACAAATAAAAGCAAAGAAAACGTTTCCTAAATAAAATGCAAGTAGCTCTGATTCAGATGCAAAATCAACCTAGTTGGTAAGTAGGTATGTTGTTACTCTGGTAAAATGAGACCAGGTTCAAGTGACTAAAAGAACACAAGGACTATTTCAACACTAATTTAATTTTAATTTGAACTTAAAAATAATGTGAATTTTTACAAACTAGAAAATGGCTCTGAACTGGAGCCATAATTCGATTTAAAAATTAAACAATATAAGATTTGGCCTGCTTCTAAAGTACTTGGAGCTCATGCGCCTTGTTCTGACTCCCTCCTTTTTTGGGCTTACATACTTAGTAGCCCATTGTATAGATTTTAAGTGCTGAAACACAGCATGTATGAGTCCGTAGTTTGTGGGTTTAATGGGTTGGTTGAGGAATAAAACATGTTGCTCTTTTGGAAGGCTGACGCGTGTATAGATTTTATTATTTTAACCATTCTTTAATTCATAATTTTAATTTCTTTTTAATATTGCTGTTGAAAAAAAGTAAAAATAAAAAAAAAAATTTACTTTTTTTTTTTTTTTTTTTTTGCAGAGGGAGAGTGTGCTATTGTAGCACCTTCAATAGCCAAAAATAATTTTAGTGGCGGCCATAAAAAAATTTTAATAATGATTTTTTTAAATAATTTTAGTGGGGGCCATAGCCATAGAAATTTTTTATATGTATATAATTCAAAAATAAAAAATTAGCAAAGCAAGTGTATAATATAAAATAATAATAATAATAATTAATAAATCAGCAATTATTGACTTGACCTTTTAAAAAATATGGCAAATTTGGAGACTTGAATTTTAAAGATGTTAATGTGGTACGTGGATGCTGTTTTGAAGTCTCAATCCTCTTAAATGTTTTTTTTCCTGAATCTTTAAATTTTTCCTGAATGCCTCTAAAATGTTTTTATTTATTTATATCTGAACTGGTGAAGGTCTTCTGACGCGGTAGAGAGAAATTGAGTTGGTCAAGGTCTTCTCCTCTAGCTGGAGAGAGGATAAAAGGAACATATCACAAGTATAACAATTGATAAAGTAACTTGGCCATGTAAAACAATCATAAAAGAACAATCTAACAAAACAATCATAGGTAATGATTCGAGTCTACTCCCTGCCTTAAAATGCTCGTTTATGAGACGACTGTGATTCCATATACAAGTAATATATAGGAAAATTACAAAACAATGGAGTTTTGGGAGTCTATTTATTCAAAAATCTAGTCAAAGTCAATACCTTTCGGACTTTAACCAAAATTTGATGTGAACACGAAAAAATATTATTCATTTTTATGTAGGTACATACCACGTTCGTACATGTAAGTACCACTCTTGTGCCAAAGGTATTACTTTTTGTGCAAACTATTGTGATTACTTGGTTTGCACAAAAATGATACTCATGTGCACAAAAGTGGTACCCGAAGATGGTACGGATAGTTTAGATAAATTAATTGTGTTTTTTCATATCCATATCAGATTTTGGTCAAAGTCTATGTTTTTGAAAAGTGTTGATTTTGACTCCATCTATGGGTAAATAAACTCCTAAAACTCCATTTTTCTGTAATTTTTCCTAATATAATATTTCTTTTATAATTATAAAACTAGGCCTCCAAACATTCAAAAACATACATTAATAATACTAGAAAATTTTCAAAAATTAAAGTTATAAGAGAAGATTATATATATATATATATATGGTACATTGATTTTGCAACGTCTCAAAATTAAAGGAGGAATACTTGTTTTGCAATAGATGGGGTAGCATTTTATCCATTCAATTTGCAAGAGTTCTTTCGTCAAACAGATAACATCATCATAATTTGAACAAAGAATCGTTCAACTAATAATTCTGAATATTATTTTTGTTGAGTGTTGCAATTAAAGAGTAGTACTATAACCATTTACAGCACCTACATTATTGTTCTATATATATAATTTTAGATTTCATATCCACATTAGACTTTGGTCAAAGTTCATGATTTTGAAAAGTGTTGACTTTAACTCCATCTTTAGATAAATAAACTCCTAAAACTCCACTTTTCTGTAATTTTTCCTAATATAATATTTCTTTTATAATTATAAAACTAGGCCTTCAAACATTCAAAAACATACATTAACAATACTTGAAATTTTTCAAAAATTAAAGTTGTAAGAGAAGATTATATATATATATATATATATATATATATATATATATATATATATATATATATATAAAGGAGGAATACTTGTTTTGCGATAAATGGAGTAACAATTTACCCATTCAATTTACAAGAGCTCTTTCGTGAATCAGATAGCACCATCTTAATTTGAACAAAGAATCGTTCAACCAATAATTATGAATATTATTTTTGTTGAGTGTTGCAGCTAAAGAGTAGTGTATTATAACCATTTATAACACCTACATTATTGTTATATATACATAATTTTTAGATCACATTTTTTCATATCCATATAAGAATTTGATCAAAGTTCATGATTTTGAAAAATGTTGACTTTGACTCCATTTCTGAGTAAACAAACTTCTAAATCTCCACTTTTCTGTAATTTTTTCTAATATAACATTTCTTTTATAATTATAAAACTAGCCCTCGAAACATTCAAAAACATACATTAATAATACTAGAAAATTTTCAAAAATTAAAGTTATAAGAGAAGATTATTATGGTACATTGATTTTGCAACATCTCAAAATTAGAGGAGGAATACTTGTTGCAATAGATGGAGTAACATATATTTTATCCATTCAATTTGCAAGAGCTCTTTCGTCAAACAGATATCATCATCATAATTTGAACAAAGAATCGTTCAACCAATAATTATTAATATTATTTTTGTTGAGTGTTGCAATTAAAGAGTAGTACTATAACCATTTATAACACCTATATTATTGTTATATATATATAATTTTAGATCACGTTTTTCCATATTCACGTCAGATTTTGGTCAAAGTTTATGATTTTAAAAAGTGTTGACTTTGACTCCATCTTTAAATAAATAAACTCCAAAAACTCCACTTTTATGTAATTTTTCCTAATATAATATTTCTTTTATAATTATAAAACTAGGCCTCCAAACATTCAAAACATACATTAATAATACTAGAAAATTTTCAAAAATTAAAGTTATAAGAGAAGATTATATATATATATATATATATGGGTCAAGTGCAAAAAATACCCCTAAACTATGCATACAATGTAGATCACACTTCGTTAGTGCAAAAAACACCCCTCAAGTTTCAATTTGGTGCAATCAAATCATTCTAGCACATTTAAAACCAAACTTGACTAAAGTAACCTTAGTCAACAATTTTATAAAATAAATAAAAATTCAAAATTTTGTAAAAAGACCAAAAAGGACCATAAATAGTGATTTATTTATTATTATTTTCTAACACGTCAGCGCAAACTTTATAGAAGCCCTTGGCGGTGTGGGAGTAGCCGGAGAAGACAGAGTTGGAGAAGAAGGAGAAGATGTAATGTTACCGATTTTTTCCTATTTTCTAATTTATGAAATTGATTTGATTTATTTGAATTATTTTGATCATTGCCTCATTTTGTGTGCCATGTGGGCCCCGATGGGCGATTTAGTCATTTTTTGAGCCGAGGGTTTTAGAAGTGTATGTTGGCCCAATGATTTTATCTAAAGGTCAATCTTATGTTTTGATGATTACAAACCATTAATGATGTTTAAGTACTAATATTTTCATTGAGTGATATATAGTTGATCAATATTCAATCCTCAATGTTGAGCTAGAAGATCCATTCCAAGCATTCCAAATACTTAAGCAATGGATTCAAGGAAGCCTCAAAGTTGCAAGAAATCAAAGAAAAATTCGGTCTTCAAAGATCACACAAAGCATTTCAAAGAAAGAAAGGAAGTCTTCATCAAGCCTAAACGATCATGGTCAAAGAATGAAGAAAAGGGTAGATAGGATGGTGAGAGCTTAAGATTCAATGTCAAAGTCTTTATGAATACATTTGAAGCTCATCTCTATAGGACCATGCATATCATACATCATTTATATGCTCCTACATCATTAGCAATATATTATGAACTTCAATACATATATATTTAACATATAAGTCTTTGCTAAGAATTAGTTAGTTCAAGCTTGCAT